ACTAATGACCATTGTTGCAGCCGAAGCAGCAGTTCTCAAACAAATAGTGTAAAATGAATAATTTCCTTTAACAACGTGAATTTTTGTTTTATATAGCGTATTAGTTTTCTTCTACCGTGAATATCATCTCATTTGAATTTCAACCTCAAGACCATAAACACCCTGTATAATTTCAATTGTTAACACTATTTTTGTATACCTTCTAAATATTTTACGAGTGTTCTGAAATGAATATAATTAATTTAACCTGTCAAGGGATAAGTAATTAAAAAGTCCAATTTTTTTGTCATACAAAAATTATTACTTTTCTATACCTTAAATACCTTTTAACTAATGGTTTTTAAAACTGAGATTAAACAGGTAAGGTTACAAATGCTTCCAATTTGTGTAAACAAAACAATATAAGTAAAATCATTAGAATTTTAAAGGGAATTTTTTCGTCATATTGGTATGCATGCAAAAATGCACTTTTATTATACAGGGTGTTCGGTCCAAGTAGCACCGGGCGATAACACCTAAACTTCCTTTTTTTTCAAAAACTAAATTTTCAAATAATACTATTCATTCCTCGTTATCCGGTGTAGCCGGAAATGCTACTAGATTTAGTTTTTCAAATAAAACACCTATGTTTTTTTGCTCGAAACAATAATAATTGGCATGAAAAATACGGTAAACCTCTATTTATTACATTTTACTTGACAAAATGCACTCAGAAAACAATTAAAATTTTTGAATTTTATTGCAAATTTTGCAACGTGGGAGGATTTTACTTGTGAAGGTATTCATGCAAAAAGCAATATGCTTGGATACCGTATAATTGTTACTTTGACAAAGCCTATTTTGATCTTTAATAATGGATGATATTAATTACGACGAATTGGTAGATCAGCTTGAAGTGTTTTTTGAGTGCAATAAAAATAGAGCGGAAGCTGAAAGACACTATACAGAAAAATACTCAAATAGAGTTCACCCAAATCGTTGGAAATTTAGTCGAATTGAAAAACAACTGAGACGAATAGATTCGCTTCTTGAAAATGTGTAAAAATTGTGAAGAACAAGAAAATAGAAATCTGAATGTTCTGTTATCAGTCGAAGAAAATCCAAAAGTTTCCATAAAAGAACTCACTAATCAACTGACAAATTAGATTTGTCAAACCAACAATTAAACTGTATCCAAGCATTTTTTTATTCATACCTTTCCTTTAAAATTAAAAATCAGGCTACGCGACCAACTTCCTTATAAAATTCTAAGATTTAAGATGTTTTTTGATTGCATTGTGTTACTCAAAATGTAATAAATAGCGGTTTACAGTATTTTTCATGTGAATTATTATTGTTTGGAGGAAAAAACATAGGTGTTCCATTTGAAAAACTAAATTTGGTAGCATTTCCAGCAACATCGGATGTGTTAAAAAAATTTAATACATTTATTAAGAAAGCCAAGAATGAATATTATTACTTAAATATTTACTTTTTGAAAAAAAAGAAGTAAGTTTTTTAATGTGACTATCATACGCAATATTTTATTATTCATATCATCTGATTTGTCATGTAAAAATTGGTGACAAAATGAATCTTTAATTGCGGCTATAGAATTATTTTTTATGTGCAAAATAAATGATGTTAATAATAAAAAAATATACTTTCAATACGTCTATGTCATATCAGCGGATTCCATCCATCTCGGAAACGCTATCTAAGAACAAGACTACACGTGTTTTCCGGTGTTTTCCAGGCCATGAACCGGCATTCCATTTTATTATTATCAGCATTTTTTCTTTAATTTGAATTAGTTTGAGTTAAATCAACACTTTTACTGTAATCGTCGTAGAATAAAGTTATTCTTTCAGTTCCAATGATTTTCTTTAAAAAAAAATCCCTAGTCAATCATCGCGATTAATATAACTGGCGCGGTCAGTAGGATACCGGGAGATACTTCATCGTGAATTATCGTCTGTATCAAGAGTTCATCCGGTACCGTGTCAAAAAAAAAGAAAAACCTCCAGGACCGAGATTGGCAGCCCAGAAGTCAAATAACCCACCTATCGTAGGCGGCCCTAATGGAAGTAAAGTCTTTCATGGTAATAGAGTGAGTTCGAAATCTTTCTCTAATACCGAATACTTCTTCCGAATCCGACTCAGAATCCGTTAATTCCCAATCCGAGTTAGAATCCCTTAATTTTGAACAAATCATGAATCCCGCACAATTTAAACCAGAATATTTGTCCTGCGTACCACATAACGACGGAAACCCCAATGAATTAAACGAATTTATATTAGCTGCAGAATCAATACATTTTTTGATAACGCAAATCCGAATAGTTTTTTGAATACCTTCATTTTAAAGGCCATTACAAACAAATTAGCATTGCCAGTTAATTTGCTGTAATTGCTGTAAATATTCAAAGCGTGACAACCTGGCAAGAACTTAAAGAAACCTTAATCAGAAACTTCATCAGTGTTCAGCGTAACGAAGTTTGTTTAATCCGCGATCTAGTACTCTTAAAACAAAATAACGAAAAACCATTGCAATTGTTGTTAAATTTGCTATGTTCGTACGTTAGAACTCATGAAAATAACGAATATGGAATACAAATTAAGAAAAAACTTTACAACAAGTTAGCATTAAAAACATTTTTAGCTGGATTGAAAGAACGTTTAGGTAGCTCGATTCGACCAATGCGACCCATCAACCTGCAAACTGCTTTGACTAACATTAGCGAAGAAAATAACATTAGATATTATCAGAAACCAATCGGAAATAATAATTTTTCTCAAAATTCAAGAGATGGTAATGATAAATTTCATAGATTTCCGTAGCAACCAATTGCTTTAAATAAAAACCCGTTGTAAATCATTGATTTCCTACCAATATCCAAGCTTTTCGACCGTCCAACAATGAACAAAATCAAAAAAAAAATGTTTTCAAGCCAAATCCCAATTTTAAACCAACACCTGCCACACCTATGAGCATTAGCACAAGACAGAGTTTTCCTAAACCGCCATGACAGCAATTCTTCTCAATTTAACGAATCAGTTGACCAAAATTTTCAACTTGAAGAAGCCGCAAATTTTACGGTAACAACCTCGGCCTCGAATCAAACATAGTCTCTTTTAATCATAACGAAGAACACACAAGTAAATTGCCATATATTGTTCTTCCAAATTTTAATAATTTAAAATTTTTAATTGATACAGGTGCGACAAAATCTTATTGTTCCCGCAGTTGCTGAACAAATATTTTTTTCACAAATATTTCATTCAATATGATCCGTTTATAGTTTCTAACACATTTTTAACTTCAGCGCATCGCTATAGTGGTTGGATGAAAGTACCCGATGTACTTAAAAGACCTGGGGAATTCATGAAATTTCGTTTATTTAAATTCCATAATATTTTTAATGGTTCAATTGGTCTAGACAACTTAGAATTTTTAAACGCAACCTTAGATTTTAATAACCTATTATTAACTGCATCAGCAAAATTAAGAATACATTTTCAAAATCTACCTTCCAAACAAATCAATACGTTTTCAATTGCCGCAAGATCTCAACAAGTTATTCAAATTACTGCAAATTTAAGAAACGGCGATGTAATTGTACCTCATACCTTATCACACGGATGTGAGATTCCGGAATGTTTGACAATGTGGCGGGTTATTGAGTTTTTAAAACTTTTTGAACCTACCTTAATTTTGGATAAATAAGAAAGATAAATAAAGGTTAAGTGAACAAAATAATTAAAACTATTGTCTAAACACAGAGTGACCTACTTAGGCACTAATATATTATTAAACATTTTAACGGAAATTGGCAAAAATAACAATAGTGTTAACGGCACGTTTATCAATAAAAGAATTAATTAAATTAGTAATTTTGCACAAACTATGGACTTTAACGGGATTATGAAAAACTAGCAAAATGTATTTATTATTCAATTTGGAAAAATATTGAAATTTCTGTATCAGGCTTATCTATACATATTATAACAACTCTGGTTTTCATCTGTACACTTAACAATCTAAATAGAAATAAACGATAAATGAAACTAAAACCTTAGACCTAACTTGGGGTTCGTGAATTGTAACCAGAGACCAAATCTCTGTCATCATTGCTTTGATTCGTGAACCCATCCATTTACATTTCAAGTTCATTCCGGCCCAAGCGTTTTTAGCTTAGCAAAAACATGACTTAAATAAATAGGAAATTTTCATAACGGCTTCCGTTGACATTTTGTTCGAAATTCCACAACAAAATCGGAATATGGTACGGCATGGTAAATCGGAGCAACGTGAACAGTTCAAGGAAAAATAAATCAAAACTTACAGCTCATGACTATGCAATGAGGTTCTATACTATATATTTTTTATTGTCTAAGTTAAATCTACATAAAAAAAATAATATACCGATGTTTTTTGTTTTTTGCGAAAGCGTGAATTCAAGGCGAAAAAAAAATTGAAGTTGGTGAAAAATAAACACACTTTCAAACACACCATATTTCCGCCAAGCGATGACGTGAGCAGACCCTGACGAACGCGCAAAATCAGCCAAAGCCGGCAGCTCTAACCCAAACTCCAATGGAAGATGGAGCAGGAAAGTCGTCGGTAAATGAGACAAAATAGAGCTGCGTTTGCTGATTGGACGGGGAGGCCCGACGTCATCAAACGCGCATTGTAATACCGTTTGAATGTAGTGGATCAAAAGCCACTTGTTTAAATCTCATTTATTTAAAAAATTGCAGCTTTATTGAAAATCGATTTTTAGTCATATTGCTATTTAACAACGAAGAATAATATAAACCTAAATTTTCCATTCTTTTTTTATAGTATAGTACCCCATTGAACAATCGGACTGCTTCGGCTGACAGCTTCTGGTCTCAGATGGTGGCACAGGGTGTCTTGGTAGCTTCTTCTTCAATTGACACAACTAGTCTGATTCGACTTGACGACTGATTTGGAACTGACTTATTAGCGATATTTGCGCTTCCTTTTTATAAGGCAAATAAAATGTCGTCACAGATTAACTGGTTCTAAGCTAATCTGTGACGTCATCTCTTCCTCAGTGCACGTGGCAAGGACATGCGAGCGAACCGGGTATAATCCATTCACGCTGTTGTTGCCGCTAAGCCACGTGGCAAGGACATGCGAGCGAACCGGGTATAATCCATTCACGCTGTTGTTGCCGCTAAGCCATAAAAAAAGCCCTTGTAAATCTTCATAATCACCTTCAAACCGAACGCTCGTGCCTGTTTCTCTTGTTGTGAAAATCGACGGTTTTCGGTACCTACTCAATATGTCTATTCTTGTTTTTCCGTGTCACTGTATGTTGTTGGAGTAAGAGGAAGATAGTGAGGTAAAACTTTCAAATGAGAAGCAGAATTCCGGATCAGTGATAACAAAAATGTAACGACTCAAATTTTAAAATTTATTTAAAAATATTTAACAAATATTCGTTTTATAAAATGAAATAATAAAAATACGATACATGGACCTAATATCCTACGGCTAATAATAATTATGTATGAGAATATTTTTCGCATGAAGAAGTGTCGTCACCCAACCCAAATCGAGGGCGAAATGTTTTGGGTGCACTGGTACCTGTCACCCTCGGCTTCGTTATATTGCTTAGCGGCAACAGCCTCGTGAATGGATTATACTAACTTTTATGGGACATAAAAGCGTACTAAGATTTTATGTCTTCTGCGAAACTCGCTCGTTCTAGTTTTATTATTGTAGCGAATAACGAGAATTCCGTGTTCTCGACCGCGCAATGACTTAAGTTTTTTGATCTTTTTACATATTATTGAAGACTTTAAGTCTACATCATTAAAAAGAACAAGCCCGTCACAATAACTTGTAACGACCACGTGGTTCTCCGTTCTGCGAGTGATTTTTTAAATAATTGATTGAAACAATCAAAAATTTAGTGTCCAACAGTGAAAGGCGTAAGTAGACTTCCCCCTTCCCGCTGGTAGCTGCTTTGACAACCCGACAGAGCTTCATAACCTCACAATATAGGTCCTTGCTTCTTCTTTATTTTGTTTTATCGTCCCATTTCCTTTGATTTTGGCTCGTGGAAGCACTTAATCTCCTAGGCTTTGCATGACAGTTACCCCCGAGGGAGGGGGGACCACCCCCTCCTGATAGCACACAGACACCGCCACCGCTACGCTACGCTACTCCACGTCAGACCAAAGCCCTTTCGTGGTCATTGTACAACCCCAGGTATCTAACACGTCTCAAAATGGTAACGATGGCTCCTCTAAACAAACCACGAAAATGTAGCATCCACTAAGAATTGGTAAAGTCCTCACCACTGCAGGTATTCAGGGTGTAATCAGAGTCTCAAAAAAGGTCCTCAGCAAGTAGGCATCGAAATTAAACAATCCATCCATGCTAACAATTTTGTGGATAATAATTGTTTCAAGGATCTTGGATTCACAGCTTCCGTTCCGGCCTCCTTAGTCACATGTAAGGGTTTAATTCGGAGTGGCTCTAAGGATATCCCCATCGAAGATGTCGTCATGTGCACATCTACCATAAAGAAGGTCATTGCTGCCCGCCGATTGAACCGTAGACAAATTGTTAACAATGAAGTCCAATACCTACCCAGTGAATCCGTTGTAATCACATTCCAGGGAAAAATGATCCCGAAATACGTGGAACTCTTCTGTTCATTGACCCCGTCATACAATGCCATAATTGCTTATGATACGGCCACTCACAAGCAAATTGCAGAAGTAAATCGAGATGCGCAAGATGTGGAGAAGAGCACTCTCGATCTGATTGTGAAAACATGGTAAAGTGCATTTTTTGTGGAAAAGACCATGGAGCTACAAACAAAATAGCAGACAAAAGGAAATTGAAAAACTAATGGCTACAGATAATCTCTCGTATTATGAGGCCAACAAAAAACTTCCTGCTCAACCCAGACAATTCTCTTACCGCTTAGCATTACTAGTAAAATGTCACGGAATGGTTCCGACCCACATAATAGATTTTGGAACGTAGTTAATAACACAAAAAATAATATCTACGAAATTATAAACGAAATCTTTCCTAAAACTTTTAGACAAAAACGAGGATTAATTAATGAACTTGGTTCAATATTCAAAAGCGTCGTCTGCGTTGATTGACAGTAAATAAAGTCTGGGCAATAGGCCAAAATCGTAAATTCCGGTAGATGACGCGCGCGTTATGCTTCGAAGGAAACTGTAATTTGTGAAATTTGAAAATTTGCAGGAAATTAAATGTCACAATTGTTGACACGTTTAATAAAATATTACTGTCAATCAACGCAGACGACGTTCAAAAGTATAACTGAAATCTAGATTATGAAGATGAGCAGAAATTTGAAAAATTAATAACACAATTATTGAGAGTCGAGTCGAGTGAGGGTCACATTGTGGTTCTCTCTTGTTTCCTCCTCATTTTTCTCAAATAAAAGTGTTAAATTGGTCTTGCCTGGTATTGACCTGTTCAGAAAATTTTTCTTTTCCTCACAGTAATAATTGGTTTAGATTTTGTTATAATACTCCAGATTTTACAGCTGATTTATACCTGCGCTATCCGTAAGTTCTTATCTATCAGTTTGTTTTTTTTTTTCTTTCTTGCTATCGCCCTTGCCGGTTGGTGAGGAGAATAACTTTGGTGTTTCTGCGGTGCGCTCCGCACAAATGGGGTACTATACTATATTTTTTTTATTGTCTAAGTTAAATCTACAAAATAGTTATTTATGTACCAAGTCAGTAAAGTGATTCTTTATCGAACGAGTCTGAGATTATGAGCCGAGTGAGCGAAGCGAGCGAGGTGAGTAACAGACGAGTTCGATAAAGACACTTTACTGATGTGGTGCATACAAAATTTTATCGCCAACCACAAAATTTTATGATTAAAAAAAATTGAGATATTATAATTTATCACATTTTATTATTATGTATTATGGAAGTAAACACATAAAAACAGTAACAGCGAATACAAAACAAATCCACCTACGTATTAGGTGTATTCGTTATATTAAACGTGAATGTACACCTTGACGCATTATAAAAATTAATTCCTGAAGTCGAAGGAGTTTGAAGTGAAAATATCTGAGGATTATTATCTAAGTTAATTTGTAAATTTTGAGCAGAATTATCATTGGTAACAACTATGTTCTCAGTTTGACCTTCACCTAAAATTGTCTTTGCCATTTTCGTTTTATAGAGCACAGATTCTTCAACATAAGACTCTGCAATCGTGTCGCTTTTCCACCCTCCGTGGCGTTTTAAATTCTCCTTACTGCCGCCTGCGTTGGCAAAGAGTGTGGCGGACGTTCGACGAAGACAATGTCCCGTATAAAGAGATGGTTCTGGTAAATGCAGATAGTTGGCAATTTTGCTTGGTATACTTCGAAAAGTATGGATTCCAACTGGTTGGACTGTGCATTTGCCATTTCTATAAGTTAGGAAAAATCGATCGTAGGGCGTCTGCTTAGGACGCAGAGCTAAATATTTGTTAAATAATTCTATGGAGTTTACTTTTCCTTCAAACTCTGGAGTGATCACAAATAACCGAGGTCTGTTGGTCTTTGTTTTAGGTATATGAACAACCAGAATTGTTTCTTTGTGCTCTATGTCACTTACTTTTAAATTCAAAAGTTCTTCATTACGTAAAGCCCCAGCAAACACAACACAAATCTAAAATAATTACTACATTCATATCAAATTGGTTTTGATAAGTTTGCATAAATTACCTTCATCATCAAGTAGATTTCATCCGGTGCATTTAGTAAAAATTTTAGTATTTCTTCTTGTGAAAGCGTTTTGGACTTTTTTGGAACATGATTTCTTCCTTTTTGCTTTAAAAAGGCCGTAAGTTTTTTATATTTACTAATGTCAATGTCATTTTTTGCTAAAAGGGTTGCTTTCACCATAGAATAATACGACCACATCGAAGAAGGGGAATACTTTTTCGATAAATCGGAAAAATATGCCAGTAAAACCTTTTCGCTATAATTTTTAACTCCATGTTTTTGGCACCACTTTATGAATATGTCATACCGGCGATTGTATGTTTCGAATGAGTTTTGTGGTAGAATTTCGAAAGAGGTCTCTAACGACTTCTTCTGAATTTCAGACGGCGTGCACTGAATGTCTTCTTCCATTATTTTCGATAAATAATTCGCGACAAAACTCTTATAGTTGGAACAGTGACAGTAACAAACGATTTCTGTTTAATGTCAAACAGTCATGGCTGGCTATGTTGTAAGATATTAGCGGAAGGTAAAGTTTTTTTTTTACAGTAAGATTTAAAAAAGTGATTGTTTACTTCCGAAAATCGCTATGGTAATGCTTCGCTTTATTGACGGTTGGCGATAAAAAAATAATATACCGTGTTTTTTGTTTTTTGCGAAAACGTGCATTTAAGGCGAAAAAAAATGTTGAAGTTGGTGCAAAATAAACACACTTTCAAACACACCATGTTTGTGCCAAGTGATGACGTGAGCAGACCCTGACGAACGCGCAAAATCAGCCAAAGCCGACAGCTCTAACCCAAGCTCCAGTCTGCGATGCGATGGAAGAAAGTCGTCGGTAAGAGAGACAAAATAGCGCTGCGTTTGCTGATTGGACGTGGAGGCCCGACGTCATCAAACGCGCATTGTAATACCGTTTAAATGTAGTGGATCAAAAACCACTTGTTTAAATCTCATTTATTTAAAAAAATACAGTTTAATTGAAAATCGATTTTTAGTTATATTGCTATTTAACAACGAAGAATAATATAAACCTAAATTTTGCCTACTTTTTTTTATAGTATAGTACCCCATTGAATTGAGGCGAATGACTTGGACTTTTAATTTGATATTTTCTTACAATTTTTCCTAATTATTTCTTAACAAAATAATCATTTTAATCACTTCACATTAGTTATCTCAGTAATTTGTAGCCACTTGTTTTGCAAATTTTGCAAAAAGTGTAATTTGCTTAGCACTTTTTATACAAGTCAACTTGTTAACTCTTCAAAAATGCAGGCAAACTGTTGCCACTGTTTTAACCCACCTGGTTCAAAACCTACCACCAAATGTGACAGTTGTAAATTAGTTCTCCACTTCCATTGCCTTGATATGTCTCCGGATGAAATCAAAATCATTTCAAAGTCTCATAGTTCGAATATAAAACTTATTTGCAATAGATGCACCACCACTTTTGATGCGTTTAATGATTTAAAAGTGTTAATTAATAACCTTCAGACTACTTTTAGCGATAAACTCAACAGTCTGGAACAAAAAGATCATAATTTGGACAAAGAGGAGCTAATTAAAGAGTCGATTGAAAGATCTTGGAAACAATCTAACCTTATTTTATACAACGTCCCTGAAAGCCAGTCACTTAATGATGATATAAATACTGCTAATGATATTCTTGAAATATTGGATACTTCACTAGTCGTAAGACCTGACAACGTTTCTCGAATCGGTATTCTTTCTCATTCTAGCAAATTTCCACGTTTAGTGCGTCTTAGACTTGATTCTCCCTTAAAAGTTAAACTTGCTCTAAAAAACAAACAACGTTTAACAAACTCCAAATTTAATAAAGTAAAAGTGTCTGATGTTAAAACTAAATCTCAACTTAACCAACTAAAAGATTTGCGCAATGAATTAAAAAACAGAACTGAAAATGGTGAACAAAACTTAACTATTAAATACAAAAATGGCCTTCCTCAAATTATCTCTTTTCCGGCAAAAAACTCTCAAAACTAAACAATTGCACCTGCATATACACTAACATGAGTAGCTTATTATTGAAATTCAATGAATTTTTAACTTTCGTGCAAAATTACCATCCTGCAGCTATTTTCATCACCGAAACATGGCTGAAAATAAACATTCTGATTTAATGATAAAAATTCCTGGGTATACTATTTATAGAAAAGATAGAAAACTTCGTGTAGATGGTGGAGTTTGCATATACAAGGTGATTCTTTTAGGGCCTACATTAGAAACTTTTTAACTTCTAATGCAGATAGGAATTTGAAATTTTGTACACAACCCAAATCAACCAGTCTGAGTTCAACTAAATTATTTTCAAAATGGCTGAACTTCCGGAACTACGAGAAATTGGCGCCAACTTTGAAATTTTAAATGGTACCCACTTATTTTCATTGCATTTTTGAATTCTCCTCTTTAAACTAAGTAAAATGTACCTAGTTGTTAGTACTTATCTATCATAGTTTTTAACATATGTCAATTTTTTGGTCAAAATTTTCACTTGCAGGGGTTCATTCAAAACATCACAGCTCTTGAACCCTTTGCGATAAGTTAATATTTTTTTTCGCTTTCGAAAACCAAAGGTTCGAAAAATTTTCTAGAATATTCAAAATTGTCGACTGTCAAATTGCAAGGCTAGTATGATTTTTTGAAAATGATCATTAACAAACAGCTTTAACTCAGTTTTTTCAAATGAAATGACTATTTTCTCAACGGCAATCAAAACTACATCAATTTGTAGAAGGACTTTTATCAACATGTCCTATACCTATCTCTTACAGTTTTTGAAATAATCACAAAAAAGATGTTAATGTTTTTATTTTTATAGTTAATCACGTAGGCTTTGAAAAAATACAATAATTAATGCAAATGTTCGATATGTTTACCCTTTTCAAACAGTCCAAAACTCGATGGGGTCATTTTATTTGAAAAAACTAAGTTATAGCTGTTTGTTAAATATCATTTTCAAAAAATCATATAAGCTTTGCAATTTGACAGGTGACAATTTTAAATTGAAATTTTAGGAAACTCTTCGAACCTTTGGTTATCAAATTCAAGAAAAATTATTTACTTATTGCAAACGGTTCAAGAGCTGTGATTTTTTTAATAAACCTCTGCAAATGAAAATTTTGAGCAAAAAATTGACATATGTTAAAAACTATGACAGATAAGTACTAATAACTAGGTACATTTTACTCAGTTTGAAGAGGAGAATTCAAAAATGCAATAAAAACAATTGGTTACCATTTAAAATTTCAAAGTTGGCGCCAATTTCTCGTAGTTCCGGAAGTTCAGCCATTTTGAAAATAATTTAGTTGAACTCAGACTGGTTGAAATGGGTTGTGTACAAAATTTGAAATTTCTATCTGCATTAGAAGTTAAAAAGTTTCTAATATAGGTCCTAAAAGGATCACCTTGTATGTATTTACTGGATTCTATTTTTTCTCGCTTCTCAATCTCCATCATTTCGTGTGATTTCTCTCTTCTTGAATCAATTTTTCGAAAAATTTCTTCTAAAAATTTTTCTCTAGTTGTAGGCTGTATCTATCGACCTCCAGGAACAACAATTGAAACCGATCTCTCCTTATTTAGCTTTATGACTAATCTATTCACTAAATTTGACAATATTGTGCTTTGTGGAGATTTTAATTTTCCATGTCTTCAGTGGTCCTTAACGAATTCAGTGGTTTTTGATATGTTTGGTCCTCTCAGAGATTTTATTTCTGACACTCGTGCTAAACAAATTGTATCCCAACCAACAAGATATCGCCCAGGCGACACCCCAAACATTCTCGACTTAGTATTTGTTTCTAATACTAATTTAACAGTAAACATGGACTACTTTCCTTCAATAGCTAAGTCTGATCACGTGGTTTTAAAATTCGATATATTTAGTATCAAATTATCGAGACATAAAGAAAACTTATATCTCAAAACTGTTTATTAATTTTGATGACTAATAGATTATTAAGTGAAACAAACTGGGACGAGGTGCTCTCATCCCCCTCTATAGAAGCTAAGTGGTCTTGTTTTAAAAACACATTAATTTCCTTGCAAAATCGCAGCACTTTTGCTAGATCATTTTTAACAAACCCTACAAAACCATGGCTAACAGCAGTTAATTAAAACAAAAACACAATTGTGGCAAAAATACAAAAGATCGCGTTCTGATTTTGACTACAATAAGCATCGTACTTTATCAAACAAATTGTCTAAAAAAATCAAACTTTCTAGAAAAAATTATGAAGAAAAAATTGGTAAAAATAGCAATCCCAAAATTTTTTCAAGTATATTCGGTGTAACACCAACACTGAACCTAAAATACCCCAACTTATTCAACCAGACAATACACCAACGTCCTCAGATTGCGAGACTGCCAATTATTTTGCTAAACATTTTTATCAATCTTTTTCTTCTATCACAAACTCTTCCGCAGCTTTTGTTCCTAATGTACCTCTGAAAGAAATAACTAATCTCACAAACATCGACTTTTCACCGGAATTAATATTAAATAAACTTAACACTTTAAAAACTACTTCTTCTCCGGGCTTTGATAACATTTCTCCCTTAGTACTAAAAAGATGCGGTTCAAACATTTCCTATCCTTTCTCCCTGATTATGCAGAAATCATTTATGGACGCCAAGTTACCGTGTGACTGGACTATTTCTTATGTAAAACCAATATTTAAGACAGGTAACAGACTTGAAGTTAACAATTATCGATCTATTAGTCTCCCGTCTGTTGTGCTTAAAGTAATGGAATCGATTATCGTTGTTAAACTCGAGTTTCATTTAATGACAAACTCAATTATTCCATCTGTTCAGCATGGCTTTGTTAAAGGAAGGTCAGTTGAATCAAACCTCCTTTCATGTTTAAGTACATGGACAGACAATTTTGACAATGGTTTAAACACTGATGTCATATATCTCGACTTTAGTAAAGCATTTGACAAGGTTCCTATAGGATTGCTTCTCAATAAATTAAAGTGTTATGGAATTTCTAGTCATTTACTCAAATGGTTTTTTGCTTTCTCGTCTGAGCGCAAATTTATGGTGACAGTAGGTCACTCGCTGAGCGATGCATTTAAAGTTATCAGCGGTGTGCCGCAGGGT